ATTGCATTACTTTTGTGGTCCCATAAAATTTCACGATATTTTGTTGATGATGCCGCATGTTCCACCGATCGTAAATAAAAAATTACCACACCCATCAATTTTGTGCTGACATTTTTTTTGCTTTCAAAACTATTTTTAATAGTATTCTCTTGCACAAGCAATTATATATTTTAACACTAACTGATAGTGAAAATAAGAGCTGTAGAGGACAAAAAAACGTCAAGCTTTTTTCTTTTAAATTTAAAAATAAAGAATTTCATATAATTAAAAATAATATTAATAATTCATCAAATTCAAAACTTAGATCACCATATTTGTATCTTACTATACCAGAATTTTATACATAAAAATAAGAAGCAAGTTTTGCCTTTAATTTATCTTTTAAAAATTTCTTATTTGTATGTATAAATTTTGGAATAGCAAGATATAAATATGGTGATTTGAGTTTAGAATTTGATGAATTAATAATGTTATTTTCAATTACATTAAATTCTTTATTTTTAAATTTAAAAGAAAAGAGTCTGATGTTTTTTGGCTTACTCTTATTTAAAGTATTGCAAGTAATGATTTATTTTTCTCTAAAAGTCAGTAGTAAAATATGCAATTATTTGTGTAAGAGAATTCAACTCAACAATAATAGTTTTGAAAGCAGAAAAAAGAGTAATTATAAAATTGGTGGGAGTAGTAATTTTTTATTTATATTGATAAAAGATGTGACACTATCATTAAAATACTATGAAATTTTATAGAAAAATGATGTGTGCACACCCGAATTCAACACTCGGGTGTGCACACCCCGCATAAAAAAAAATGAAGAACACTTGGTCCATTATTTTTTTTTTATGTGAAGTGTGCACACCTTGGTGTTGAATTCGGGTGTATACCAATCATGGTCCAATTTTATAAGACTACAAAAAAAAAAACAAGCTATAGAAAGCATGAACTATTGCATTTGACGTTGTTATAAGCGGTGTTAGGGGAGGAAGATAACAGTGTTAGGGCAGGGAGGTAAATGGAATGGAAAATTAGAGTAGAGGGAGGACAAATAATATGGTTTGAAAGAACAAAAAGAGGATTTTGAATGATTTGTAAGTATAAGAAAGATAATGAACAAAAATTAAAAGTAGAAAAATTATAGTTGGCTTTAGCCCTTTAAAAAAAATTAATTCAAATTTTTTATTTAAATATATAAAATATAATTAGAATAAAATA